GTCTCTTTCTGTGCTCCCCATTCCACGGACTCCGCAGTTGTCACCAGGACTGTTTGAGCACGTGCCAGTGGATGGTGGAGGGAGCTATGTGGGCCTCATGTTCCAGCTGCTGCCAGACCAGCCCTCCTAACCCTCTCATTTCCCACAAGCTGTGTTTCTTCTCCAACACGCCACCCCTCTGCCTTGAACCCACACCTCCTAGGTCCCTAACCGGAAACTACAGTGACTTTTAGTCCTCACTTGAGCCCTGCACCCATCTGAGAAGGTTGAGAACACTTAGAATCCCTGCCAAAGCCACACAACCAATTCTGCACTTTGTCGCGACGGTTTGCCTCCCAGGAGTCCTTCTCTGCTTCTCCAGGTGTCCTTCGAGCTCCGGCCTGTGCCACTTACTGGCCCCTTGGCATTACAGTCAGAGCGTCCTGCCTGTCCCCTGCAGCCTTTCTCGGGCACGGCTGGTTGTTTTTATGGATCTGTTTCCCCACCAAACGTGAGGGCCAGAGTGCTGTTTGACTCGCTCCTGTTCCCTCTGTGCCCTGCATAGGGCCAGGAACACAGCAGGCACTCACAGCGACATCTCCAATGCTTGTAAGAAGAGATTTGTTCCAGGATGGCACTATAGCAGATTGTTACCCCGAGGGCTTCCCCAGGCCACCACAGCACACTCAGGAGCACCCCTCAGCAGATGCAGGTCAGGACCCGTGAATAACCGTGTGGCTTCCTCGCCCAGAGGACAAGGCAGCTCTGGAATGTGCTCCAGGCAGTCTCCCGGAGGACCGTGCTTGGGCAGAGTCCCAGTTACCTACAGTGGTCATGTGTTCACAGACACCCTACGCTGGCCTCCAGCCCTTCCCTTCCTCTCTCTCTCCCTTCCCTACCATGCCTCCTAGGATCGTGTCCCAGGTAAACAACTTGCACCAAATCCTTGTGTCAGCATCTACTTTGGGATAACCCAAGTTAGGCGAACGTCCCAGCTCTCTTGCTATATCAATTGCAGTGACCCCTAGTTGTACTTCCAATGTCTTCAACCCACTTACCCCCTGACCGAATCTAAAACCTTGAGCCTACCTAAGTGCCCTTCTGGTCCAGGATGTGGGAGGTCGGGGCCCATGGCTGGCACGTCTTGATTGTTCCTTGCTGTGCCCTGGGTTATGGGTCTTGTCCTGCCAGGGCTCCCAGGGTGCT